GGTATTTAGCAGTTTATATTTACCAAAATAATTGCATTTCCATATTGTGTGTGTACTGTGGGAGACCAGATATAGTGAATGCAGGGTCCGGGGAGACCAGATATAGTGAATGCAGGGTCCTGGGTTTAGTAACACTTTAAACCTGATTGCACCTTTGTTCTAAGCTTATTCTAACTAACTAACTAAAGGAAAGAAGTCTATACTTACCTATTCTGAGGGCGCTCTGGTCCAATCACATGATCGCCTCCCAGTGCTGGCTTCAGGGTAGAGGAGGAACAGCTGACAACGCATGCCCCATAGTAAGATTATGGGTGACATCACAGCCATTGTCGGCGATCTCTCTTCCTCACTGAAGTCGTCTGCTGGGGAAATCATGTGACTGAACTGGAACGCTTTCAGAATAGGTAAGTAATGGCATCTTTCTTTGTAGTGAATAGTTAGAATAGGCATACAATAGGTGTAGGGAACAGGTTTAAAATTAGATAGCGATTGACTGGACTTCTACTGTAATATCTGCAAAAAAAAAACATAAATAAGAAACCCCTACAAAAGAATAATGATTATACCCATACCTGTCCCACAGCCCATTTGTGAAATCATTTGGAGGGTAGTGAAAAAAAAAAATGTAGCGCTAATTCATACCACTAATGCACAAAATATAATGACACATTAATAAATTCATAAATTCTAGTCCTCAAAAAAGTCCAATAAATGTGACCATGTGCTAGATAGAAAACATATCTTCAAAAAAGTGATGTGCCGCCAACAGGAAAATAGAAAGAATCCTCCACCATTACCATTCACAGCCTCTTACTGGAAAATATGACCACAGATCATGTGGTCAAAAACGGCAAATATGGAATAACATTGGACATGTTGGATCCTTGATCTTCTCCTCCAAAAAAGGCAGTTCCAACGCTAGTGACTCGATGATAAAGATCCAGTCCAACACAACAAACACTTTACTCCTGCGCTAGGAAAGGACTCAGTAGACCCAATAGGAATGTTCTGGAATTTTCTGGAATATGCACTGCTCGCTGCCCTCAACAGACCGGGGTGGTCCGAATACACTGGATACAAATGGAGAAACAGAAAAAGGGCGCACCGACCTAGTGCATTATCGTTTAAAATAATTTATTAAAGAAACAAAAATAGGTATCATACTCACAATGGACATAATAACACAGGCATGTCAAACTGAACAAGGTGTATGATCCAAACAACATCTGAGTCCATACAATGGAACCCTGGATGACCAACTTGCTAACGCGTTTCGAGGACATAACCTCTTCCTCAGAGCCAGTGGATAAAGATCCCGTGTTATGCCTCAAAGATATTGGGATGTATACAAAGAGAACAAAAGCTCCTCATAGTGTAGTATTTTAAAATAATCCACAGTTTAATATAAGTATTGCAGTTACAGACATAATATGAAATCAGCATATGAGATAATAAAATTTTCCAACCTACAAAATGGCCACAGTAAGTGGTGCGATGACGTCATAAGCTGTAGCTCAACCGTACATGTTTTGTCACAAGAAGATGTTGTCAGGGGGGCACCGCAGTTTCCTTCCCCTTTACTCCTTGATGACGGGGAATTACATGGCCCTGAAACACGTTGGTCATTTGTTCTGCCGTCTGAACCAGTTAAACACTAAAAACATTTGAATTCTAAGAATTTTTCATTTCCCATATGGAAGAAAAATATATTTGAAATACTACAATTTTGGCCATATTCAATATATTTCAAGATATATTTCAATAAATATATATATATATATATATATATATATACTGCATGTTGATTGAAATGCATTTTTATTACAAAATATAAGAAAAATATTTTTAAAAATACATTTCAAATATACTGTGTGTCTTTAAAAATAGAAATCTACATTTTTGGAACGCATTTACAAATATATGTAAAAATATATGTTAAAATGACTTTTTTATATGTTAAAAAAAATATGAAGAATAAAAACATATATCTTTTTAAAAATATATTCTTCAGATTTTTTCTCTTCCGTATGGGTATCACTCTTTTTTATCTATTGCACTTGGATTTCTCAATGAACAAGACCTCCTGTGGGGTCCTTGTCATTGTCGTGAACTGCCAAACACAGGCCAATTGGTCTCAAGTTAATTTTTTCTGCATTTTGATGACCTGTGAAAATTTATGTCCAGCACCTCTCTACCACTACCTGTTTTTATTGCTGTCTCTCCCCACGTGGAAGATTCGCCCTCTCCATTTATTTTCATCTGATGATCCAGCCATAAGTCTGCTATTATACAGTTTACATGGAAGAAACAAACCATTTAACACTGGCAGGGGTGCTTACAATAAAATGATCAGCTTTTATCTATTCATGTAAAACCTTTATCCTAAAAGGAAAAACGCTGTTTGCAGTAACTGATTATAACATGTGAGCTGGATTTTGGTCTTCAATTTGTTAGTGTAAAATCTACTGGTACATCCAACACTCCCCCCAGGACTGACAATTCTGCTGTCCAAAGGTGCCCCCTGTGCGCCTTCATCCAGAGTGGAGGCACTCTAATACAGGAGGTGTGTTACTGGCTAGATCGCAAAGTAAACACAGAGAGGAAAAAGCCTAAAAAAGAAAACTAATGCAGCCACCACATCTAATGACTGGTAAGCTGCAATACCTTACATTTTTGGTTTTGGGTTTAATACCACTTTAATGCAGTGTATGTTAACCTGTGACATAGCACATTTTTTCCAAAAAAATGCAAATGGGTTCTAAATGTTTGCGTTTGGTTATAGTATGGTTATAATTTTGGTTTTACGGCTGCACATTTCACATAACTTTATGACTTGTTTTCTCATTCGGTGCCTTTATTTTCTGTATCTCAGGAATCCAGGACAGCGACCTACAAGTGAAAACCATGCGGAATCTGGTGAAGCAGCTGCCTTCGCCTAACCATGACACCATGAAAACTCTCTTTGAACACCTTCGAAAGTAAGTAAGATTTGCCTCCATCGCCTGACGTCTTCATTTGTCAGTCCATGAAAAATTCCTAAACTGTCTTCTGGAGAGAGGGGACGCCATTCCTATACCAAAACATATCCTCGTCGTCTATCGATCGTTCCAGCACTGAGTGTATACACAGCAGCATGTTCCAATCAAAGTGTGGCTCGTCTCCATTACCTCACAGGGCCACGCTCTAATTGGACCCTGCTGTGGGCCACTTTGAAGGGAAATGAAAAAATCAACACACGATTCAAGTAATGATTATTGTCCCCCCTAAACATCTTGGCAAAATTGATTGTAACTACTTCACTGCTGGAAAAGTTTGGCTATAATAAAAGCCCCACCCCAAGTGAAAAAAAAAAAAGATGCTTTTTGTATGTTGACACAATTTACTTAGATATGATCTCTTCTTATAACATTTTATCATTTTATGTCTTATTATAAGAATTTCTATACATAGGGAGGGATTTACTAAATCTGGAGCACTCAGAATCTGGTGCAGCTGTGCATGGCAGCCAATCAGCTGCTAACTTCAGTTTGTTCAATTAAGCTTTGACTATAACCCCCCCCCCCCCCCCGGTCACATTAAAGCCGATTTTGAAATCGTGCGACTTACAGTGAAGTAATGTGTGCAGACACAGCCAGGGGCGGACTGACAACTCATGGGGCCCCCGGGCAATAGGGGATCACGGGGCCCCTGTGTCCTTGCCCAAACTCAAAAAAGCCTATGAAAAAGGTACCAGGGGCATCTCATGGGGCCCCCTACTGACCTCGGGCCCTCGGGCAGTGCCGAGTTTCCAGATGGTCAGTCCGCCCCTGGACACAGCACATTGCACCACCCCCATGTTTGTTTTTTGTTTTGTTTTTTTACAATCTTTAGAATCACTTTCCCCACTTGCCCTTCAGAGGATTTACCCCCCTTCCTGACCAGGCCATTTTCTGCGTTACGGCAGTGCATTATTTTAACTAGTGGTGTATTTAGGTTTCGGGCTGCCCTAGGCAACACAAAAATTGGCTCCCCCCCACCGAGAGACCCTGACACCAACCAACACCTTCCTCCCCCACAAAGAGAGACTGACATTAACCAATAACTCCCCAGCCCCCCACCCGAGACAGCCTTCCACTACCATCGACCCCCATACACTGGCAACCCTCCACCCCGTGAAAAGATAAGACACTCATCATCACAGCTCCGGAAATCCCCAGGAACAAGAGTCAAGCTCTGCATACACCATCAAGCAGCCCGCAGCCTCTCTCAGATCCCACCTGCGTGTGTCCCTTCTTCCATCCTCTTCTTTCAAGGGGTGGCGCTGCCCCCCTGAAACTTGTTGTTGCCCCCCTGAAAAATTCCACCCTAGGCAAATGCCTTGTTTGCCTTGTGGTAAATACACCCCTGATTTTAACTGACAATTGCGCGATCATGCAACTTGGCAACCAAATCACACCTACGTCCTTTTTTCCCTGCAAATAGAGCTTTCTTTCAGTGGTATTTGATTGCCTGTGCACTTTTAATTTTTTGCACTATAAAAAAAAGAACAATTTTGAGAAAAAAAAAAACATATTTTTTACTTTTTGCTATTAAACATGTCCAGTAAAAAAAATTAAAAAATAAATAAAATTTTGTCATAAATTTAGGCCAAAATGTATTCTGCTGCATGTCTTTGGTACAAAAAAAATCCCATTACGTGTAAATTAACTGGTTTATGTGAAAGTTATAGAGTTTACAAATGGCGGTATATATACTGGAATTTTTATTTTACTAGTAATGGGGACGATCAGCAACTTATAGTGGGACTGCAGGACTGCGGAACTGCGGCAGGCATTCTGACACTGGAGGGAACTGACTTGGTGTCACCGACATTCCCAGTGACACCAATACAGTGATCAGTGCTAATAAAAAGCACTGACACTGTACTAATGGCACTGGGCAGGAAGGGGTTACCATGTGGGGCAATCAAAGAGTTAACTGTGTGCTGTTTTACTGTGAGCTGTGTGTGTGCTTCACTGTAAGCACACTGCTTTGTATGGCTGTGCTATGCAAAGCCATACAAAGCAGTGTGCAGGAGCTGACAGGGGAAAGATCTGTATTGTGTACATACAGTTCTCTCCCCCGTCAGTAATACTCGGTGATCACCGGGTGCCAGGCGAGTAATCACCTGATGGGACCCGGTGATTGATAGCTGAGGCTGTGAACAGCGGCGTGGGTAGGGTGCACGGCTCTTGCGCCCCCTACCCAGAAATGCAAAATCACGTATATATACACATGATTTTGTGTGCAGCCCTGTAGCAGTATATCAGGAAAGCAGTTAAGTATGCATTGTGTTATTTGTTATTTTGATGTTTAACTTAGGGCCCTTTCACACGGGTGGACTTCACCAAGCGGATCTGCCCGCTCAGTGGGGGATATGTCCGCTGATCCCCACTTAGCAGGCGGATGACAGGTCCTTGCCCGCTCTGCTTGTGCAGAGCAGACACCAACATAGCCCGCTGTTCTCTACGGGGGTGGATGCATGTAAACGGACCGCTCGTCTGTTTTTAGCAGATTGGATTGGATCGGATGCAAGCAGGTGTAAACGGGCCTGACGCTCTGTCAGCGACATCTAACTCCTGATGTCGTGAATCATGATTCACAAAAAGCGTTGAGATTCATGATGTTTTCCATCGTCTTCGGTTGACTGGCACAATGATTGATGGATTTCTGTATGAAGAATTTTTACAATCATGTACTGAAAATTGGAAAATTGCATATTATTGCTCCTGGTGCATTTCCCTTTTTTAAATCTATTTTATTCTGATATGTTCTAAATGTAGGTGACTTTTATATATGTTATATCTGTGTCTGTATGACATCCAAAAAAGTCCCATGGGCAATCCTTTTTGACTTCCCCTTTACATCAAAATCCCCATCACAGTTTGCACTTACCTTACACTTGCACCATGGCTGAAGCAGCGGGGCTAGAAGCTGGAGGTGGAGCAGGTCTGAACAGAGGATGTTCTATTTCCCTTTAAATGGTGGGACAGGCATGTGATTGACCTATCATCCTCCACTAGCACCACCGCTGTCCTAGCAACCAGTGACAGGAAGGATGACAGTGCAGCAGGGGGAGCCTGTGCTGGAGACTGAAGGAGGAATAAAGCAGACCTCTGTTCATCTAAAGCAGGGGTCTCCAAACTTCCTAAACAAAGGGCCATTTTACTGTTCTTCAGACTTTAGGGGGGCCGGACTGTGGCCAGTGAAAGTAGAAAATGCTCCAGCATCAACGGGAGTCCACAATGCCTCAGGCTTGGTGGTCAGTGGGATTTAAAAATTGTGGTCAGTAGGAGTAGTGCCCCATCATTGGTATCAGTGGGATAAATAGTGATCCATCATTGGGATAAGTGGAAGAAATAGTGATCCATTATTGGTGTTAGTGGCAAACACAATGCACCATTGTTGGTGTCATTGGAAGGATTGATACCCCATCATTGGTGTCAGTGGGACAAAATATGCCATATTGTTGGTGTCAGTGGAAAGAATAATGCCCCATCATTGGTAGCAGTCGGAGAAATAGTGATCCATCATTGGGATTTGTGGGAGAAATAGGGATCCATTATTGGTATCAGTGGGAGAAATAGTGATCCATCATTGGTATTTGTGGCAAAAACAGTGCACCACTGTAGGTATCATTGGAAGGAATGATACCCCATCATTGGTGTTAGTGGGGCAAAATATGCCATATTGTTGGTGTCAGTGAAAAGAATAGTGCCCCATCCTTGGAGTCAATGGGAGGAATATTACCCCACTGTTGGTATTAGTGAAAGGAATGGTGCCTCATCATTGGTGTTCAATAGAAGGAATAGTGCCTCAAGGGCCAGACAAAAGCAAGCAAAGGGCCACATCTGACACTCATGCCACAGTTTGGAGACCACTGATCTAAAATGTAAGAACACAATGGGCCATGAGGATACACCACTGACCCTAGCTGCTGGCTATATTAAACCTTGTAGTGGGCTAGATTTGGCCCATGGGCAATAGTTTGGAGAATCCTGGCACAAGCAACAAACTTAGATCTGTGAAAAGACATGGTAGCCCAGAGCAGACAGATTTTAGGAGGCTGATGAATGCGTCTTGTTTGTACATACATGTCTTCAGAGAGAAAGTATTTGGAAATTAATGTTTTACCATACATGGAATTCATTTATATATGGAACTTGTGGGGAGATTTACTAAAACAGGAGCACACAGTATCTTGTGCAGCTGTGCATAGTAACCAATCAGCTTCTAACTTCAGCTTGTTCAATTAAGCTTTGATAATAAAACATGGAAGCTGATTGGTTACTATGCACAGCTGTACTACATTCTGTGTGCACCAGTTTTAGTAAATTCCCCTCTCGGTGTCTACAAAGGTGCATAGTTACAGGGGAAGCACAATGAAAGTTGCCTAGGGGAACACATCATCAAAAATATAGCTATGAGGAGGAATAATGCATACCCTTACTGTATAATCTGTCCTGAGCATGATATTACTCCATGCCTTCTAAGTATTTCAAAAGACACTTCCAGTAAATTCAGTGAATAAGCATTGATTACTTCCCATTTCTAATTGTGTTGGATCTTTGTCAACTACAATCTGTATTAGGCAATATTTAAAGTATTGATTATGTCATCATGGAGTTTATATCCATTGCTGTTATAGGATATCTTTCAGATGTCAGCTTTATTACTAACCCTATTGTACACACCAATGACTCATAATAACAAGGCGATACACAGATATGCATACATTCAGAGATGAGCTAATGTTTGATTGGTTAATTCTATTAATCAACATAGCACCAAGAAATTCTGCAGTGCTTTGCAAAGTGCACTGAACCATCCACTGGGATCCCTTACAACCAAATAAGCTCACAATCTGATAGTTGTACACATTATAGTGTATTTAAGTGTAATTCAAGCCTTTTTTTTCCCAGTAGTCCTCCGTTCCTATGATTTTTAGGAAAGGGTTTAACCACTTTCCCTCCTGAGGATTTACCCCGCGTTCCTGACCAGGCCATTTTTTGCAATACAGCGCTGCGTTAATTTAACTGACAATTGCACGGTCATGCAACGCTGCACCCAAATTAGTTTTACATCCTTTTTTCCCCACAAATAGAGCTTTCTTTTGGTGGTATTTCATCGCCTGTGCATTTTTAATTTTTTTGCGCTATAAACAAAAAATCCCGACAATTTTGAGAAAAGAACAATATTTTTGACTTTTTGTATTAAACATGTCCAGTAAAAAAATTTAAAAAATAAAATTTCATCATAAATTTAGGCCAAAATGTATTCTGCTCCATGTCATTGCTGAAAAAAAAATCCCAATACATATAAATTAATTACGTGAAAGTTATAGCATTTACAAATGGCGGTATATATACTGGAATTTTTTTTTTCTTAGTAGTAATGGCGGCGATCAGAGACTTAAAGCGGGACTATGGGATTGAGGCGGGCAATCTGAACTTGGGGGAACTGACTTGGTGTCACTGACATCCACAGTGACACCAGTACAGTGATCAGTGCTAATAAAAAGCACTGACACTGTACTAATGACACTAGGCAGGAAGGGGTTAACATGTGGGCGATCAAAGGGTTAACTGTGTGCTGTTTTACTGTGTGCTGTGTGTGTGCTTCACTGTAAGCACACTGCTATGCAGAGCCATGCAAAGCAGTGTGCAGGAGCTGACAGGGGAGAGATCTGTGTTGTTTATACAAGGTTTCTCCCCCATCGGTAATACCGGGTGCCAGTGGGAAATCACTGGCTGGGACCGGTGATTGACAGCCAAGGCCACGAATGGTGACACCCCCTACACGCAACTGCAAAATCACATATATACATGATTTTGCACACCCATGCCGTCCTGTAGCAGTATTTCTGCTATAGGGAGGTGTGTTTTTTTTTTATTAGCAATGATCACTGTATTGGTGTCACTGGGGATGTCATAGTCAGTTCCCCCCAGTGTCAGAATACCCGCCGGGTCTCGCTATAAGTCGTTGATCATCACCATTACTAGTGAAAAAAAAAAATTCCAGTATAAAGTAAACGCTATAATTTTCATGTAAACCAATTAATTTAAATATATTGGGATTTTGTTTTAACAAAGACATGTAGCAGAATATATTTTGGCCTAAATTTATGATGAAATTTGATTTTTTAAATTTTTTTACTGGACATGTTTAATAGCAAAAAGTCAAAAATATTGGGGTTTTTTTTTCAAAATTGTGGGTTTTTTTCCTTGTTTTTAGTGCAAAAAATAAAAAAACCGCAGAGGCAATCAAATACCACCTAAAGAAAGCTCTATTTGTGGGGAAAAAAAGGACATACATTTAATTTGGGTGCAGCATTGCATGACCACACAATTGTCAGTTAAAAAAAAACGCAGCGCCGTATCAAAAAAAAAAATGGCCTGATCAGGAATGAGGGTCCCCTCTTATGAAGATCTGGATCTTTGAGGAATAGTCCAGGCTAGCAAGATATGATATTGATTGCAGATCTCTCTAAAAGTTGTCCTGCAATATGTACAGTTACCTCGATTAAAAAAAGTTAGTTAATCATATGTTCGCATAGTACTTTTTGCTATATACATTCTGGTTTTATGTGTTAGAATTACTTTATATCTCTTCCTTTCCATGCTTATCTTAACTCCTCTAGATCCCAATACAATGTGTGACTCAAGATGCTATAAGTGCTTCATAGTAAAATATTCTACGTACATGTAGCTTCCTCCTAGCATAGGGTGCTAGGTATATTTAATTATTGGCTTCTTCTGTAATCAAGGGAGCAGTAATTGTTTGTTCTGGCCTGTTCAGGATTTTGCAGACTGTGAGTTTGATTGCTTCCCCCCGTCTTTTGAAAGAAGAGATTCAAAACAACCAGCCTGAATATTTATCAGGTTCCAGCCAATCTCTGGAGATGAATGTCCAGAAAGGGGGCTGGAATGGTGATAAATAGTCTGAGGCCCTGGAGAGCAGGGTTCCTTCTCTTGAAGAGGGTTCCAGAGCCAGGGGGACTGCTGACCTCCGACATTCCATGGACTGTACAGCTGCTTTTGATGGCCTCAGCAGTGTCATAGCCAAGGACCTGGATGGACTTTGGAGCTGCTTGCAGAATCACAGCATGAGGTATTTGGTCCTGTGAGGTGCTGGCTCACTCACTGAACCATGTGTAGAGGAAGCTGGAAGGTGGCCGCTGTCCTGGGGACTTGTAAATTAAGGACCTTAAGCTAATCCATGTGACTGTGTAGTTTCTGAAGCTGCACTCAAGTTGTGCCGCATCACAAGGTAGTCAGATGCCAAAAAGATTTGCCCCTTGGTCTTCAGCTGTGAGGCTTCAGACCAGGGGTGTCAAACTCAATTTTATTGCAGGCCACATCTGCATTATGGTTGCCCTCAAAGGGCCGATTGTATCTATAAGACTATATAAATGTATCTACTCTTTATCATATTAAATAATTGCCTCTGCATTCAAATATTACTGGTGTTAGTAATAACTTAAGACTCAAGCTGCAAGGGCAGGTGCAGACAGGCAAGGAGCCCTCTCACACTCCTGCTGCAGAAGATGCAAGTCTGAAAAGGAGGGTTGCACACTACTGATATCTTCCACAAGAAACTTTATTGAAGACTGCTCAGACAAAACATGGTTCTGGCATGGTGTTCCATCTGAGCAGTCTCCATTACATTGAGAAGTGCAGGATCTAGCAGAGATGTTCTGTTCTCCTCATTGTTGCTGACTGCTGAGACAGGATGGAGCAGAGAGGAGGCAGGTATAGCTGCAGAAGAGGTGCAAGTACCATATGAAATGGCCTGATGGGCCAGACTCGGCTTGTGGGTCTTGTGCTTGACACATGTGCCTTAGACTCTTTGCACTCACTATTGCTCCTAAAGGAAGATTGTCCTCTAACTATTAAGCGCCAAGCATTTTGCAGTATCCTATGTCCAAGTTCCCCTCTCCTGTTAAAGTTCTGCAAGCAATATAATACAAAATACATCTCCTAGACAAAATTGTTGAAGCTGATGTGAGTGGACTAGTGCTTGTGGGACAGGCAACTTCTGTACATGGGGGAAAAAACTGTTAATATTAACAGCCCTCTCACAGGTAGCGTTACACGCACACAAATTATGTAACCCTTGTGACAGGGCAAGGCTCTGTCACCATGAAAATATAGGAAAATGTGACACAGGGTTTACATTCAAGGTAAATACGATGTTACAGACTAGTGTTTCTAAGCAGAGAAGGCTGTGTATTTGACTTTCACTGGATTCTGGAGTTCTGGATCGAAACATATTACCGTATTTTTTCTCTCCATAAGACGCACCTAGGTTTTAGAGGAGGAAAACAAGAAAAAAAATATTCCGAACCAATGCACTGCAGACATACAAAAACAGATGAACAGAGACTGCGTACATACTACAGGAGATGACCAGAGACTGCGGACATAGTACAGGAGATGAACAGAGTATCTTGTTTCACATGACTGTCATATGCCTTTAGGTGTTTCTATATTTTGTTTCTGCTCCTCCCTTTCCTTTGGTTTACTTAATGCTGTATAGATAGCCCTCCCCCTTTCCTAGAAATGCATTGCAGCTCTAGCCTCATGTCATGGAGCAGGAAACATTATGATCTTTTGACCTATCAAATGTTCATTGTTGTAAGATTCTCTCAGTTTATGGAATAAACTTCACAAGATCTACAAGATGTCTTATCTGTCAAGATGTCTGACTGTGGTATCCAACTGAGGTTGAAGTTATCGCTATCTCATCACAACTGTAAGTTACAGAGATCACACTATCAATGCTTAGATTGGAGAGACAGAACACAGAGACTGCAGACATACTACAGGAGATGACCAGAGACTGCGGATATAGTACAGGAAATGACCAGAGACTGCGGACACAGTACAGGAGATGACCAGAGACTGCAGACATAGTACAGGAGATCACCAGAGGCTGCGGACAGTACAGGGGATGATCAGAGACTGCGGACACAGTACAGGAGATGACCAGAGACTGCAGACAGTACAGGGGATGACCAGAGACTGCAGACAGTACAGGGGATGACCAGAGACTGCGGACGAAGTACAGGAGATGACCAGAGACTGCGGATAGTACAGGGGATGACCAAGAGATTGCGACCCTTTGGGGAGGGAGGGGGTACCTGAATTTGACAGGTACCCGCTCCCACTTCCGCGGAGTTGTCCTCCCTTTAGTGTGGGCACCCGGCTGTGACAGCCATGTGCCCACTGCGCATGCGCGAGAAGTGTTGCGCTTTTTGAATGGTCTGGCGTCTTCTGGGACCTGCCATGTGTCCCGAAGATGCCGGAGCATTCACAAAGCACAGCGCTTTCCGCGCATACGCAGTGGGCACCTGGCTGTCACAGCTGGGTGCCCACACTAAAGATGCAGGTGCCGGCAGACTGTACGGCATTGGACCGAGGAACGAGGTAAGGTTCTGCTGCAGAGAAGGGCCGAGTGGCCGGCCCGGTATTCTGACACAGCGGCGTCAGCGGAAATACCGGACTGGCCACTCCATATTCGCTCCATAAGACGCACTGACATTTTCGCCCCTTTTTTGGGGGGGGGAAGTGGGTCTTATGGAGCAAACAGTATGGTATATACTCAGGTCTGAGGATAGCTCAGAGCTCCCAGTTTGGAGAACCCTCCCAGTGGGGAAGACTGAAGGTCTCATTGAGGGGTCAGAGGACCCAGCCAGAAGAAAAGAAACAGAAGTCTCAGTTCCATGAGTCAGGGGCAGCTCCTATCGGTTGTCATTTGAACCCCAATCTATAGGCCAGAGGTGGGCCATGCAGCAGGGTGCTGTGACTAAAGGCTATAAATCCAAGTATCCAGGAGAGCTGAACAACACAGTCTGAGAAACTAGTAAGAGGAACAGTGTGATACTGCATTGAAGTTGAGTGAGCTTATGAGCCAGGTGGCTCGATATTTTCCAGTTGTGACGGAGGTGTGGGTGGAACAGAACACATGCGGAGCTCAAGAGGGATTTTAAGGCCCCTGACCAAGGGGTTCTTTATTTTGGGGTGGCTCAAAAACAGGGAATCAGATAAGGGGAAGGCCACAGGGCAATAATTTCAACATTGTGAGGGACATGCAGAAATATAACAGGGTTGCACAAAAAGGACAAGTCCAGGGGCACAGGGCAGCAATCTAGTACAGAAGGGACTTAGTCCAGAATCACAGGGTACAATTTGGGCACAGGGCAACAGTTCCATGCTCACAGGGCAACAGTTCAGGCTTGAGGGACAGGCAGCAATCTCTTACAGGAAGGACCAGAGTCACAGGGAAACAGTCCGAGCACAGTGAGTTGAAGGCCACAATCCAGTATAGCAAAGTCCAGGGACACAGGGCAGCAATTTAGGACAGCAGGGTAGAACAAAGCGAGGATAAAGTCCAGCAGGGTATGGATCCTGGCACAGCAAGAGTTTAAGTCCAGTGCACCAGGCAGTAATCAAGCACAGCAGAGTATGATACAGCACGGGTGCAGTCCAGCAAGGATCCTGACACAGCAAGGGTTAGATGACTCACCAGCAGACAGCAACCTCAGCCAAAGGTGTCTAGGTAGGCTGTCAGATCACAGGCCATCAGATGGCAGTGTGTCCTGGCTACAGCTTCAGGACCACACAGACAACCGTTGTGAGAAGAGTAGAGACATGGCAAGGAGAAGTAGTAGTTTGTGGAATAGCATTGTGGAACCTCAGGGTGAAGTAGTCAATGCGGGCAGCAGTCCTCAACCCTCTTCTAGTCTCCTTCTAGTGGAACCTCCAGACTTGGTTCCCCTGTGTCCATCACTGAAGTAAGCTTTCCACAGTCTGACCCTTTTCTTTGTTGTCTTGAACTTTTAATGCAGCCAGAGATCTCAGCTAGCATCTCTCGGTGCCAAAGTGTCTGGCCATCCTGGTACAAAATTCCACAAATCCTGTACTCCCTGCTGAGAAGGAAACCATACCTCCAGACCCTCTGCTTGGTCACAGGAACTCACTAATCAATTATGCATATCGGCTAACTTATTTACATACTGCTTTTCATTTGGTTTCATGTAACAAATGTTCTTTTAGAGGTTTCCTTTCTCAACCTTTTTCTAAAAAATCCAATATTTCTGAACTCCGTTACACCAGTGTTTGTCTTTTTGCTGAAGCTGGAGAAGATCCCGTACATGGGAAGCCATTAGTTTGTGAACTTTTTCTTTCTTTTAAATAAAAGTGGGCTACCAAGCCTTTACAAAAAATCCCTGTCTGCCGCAGACTCACTAATAACACATCTACCACAAGAACTAACTACCCCATATCACACCCCTTAAACAAACTTGCAAGCATAAAACTAACTTCGACCTGGTGAGCTCATTGCATGATTCTTCTGTTGGTACAATGAGAGGAGAAAAAGGCAAGCTATCCCAGCTGTTACACAATTTCTTCCTAATACTAAATTAATGGACATATTATCTTCTTATAAACTCATAATTGCAGTTAGAGTGCATATTCATGTTATTTAGCACCATATAGTACACATGCTAACATGTTTCTAGTGCTTCTAGTGCAGGGCTTGAAAAAGCCGCTCGCCAGATGCGAGGAGAAATTCCTCTGTGGTGAGCGGCTGCGAGCGGTGAGCACAGATGAAGCTTGGAGCGACTGCACCTGCGCTCCAAGCCTCATTGTGAAGCCGTGTTCAGTTTACAACCTCTGGTTTCCAGCTTCTGCAGCACCGCCGCCGAGGGGACAAGTGCAGGAGAGGTCCGCTCTCCGCCGCTGTTAGGAGACACCCTTTACACCGTCGCGGGGGACTCGGGGGGAGAGTAAGTACTGTATACAACATGTCCTATCACTATAATGGAGTACAGGGGAGCTGGGATATACATTACTCAGTAATGTACAGTATATACCAGCTCCCCTGTACTCCATTATAGTGATATGACATGTATACAGTAATGTATATCCCCCCTCCCCTGTACTCCATTATAGTGATATGACGTGTACACAGTAATGTATATCCCAGCTCCCCTGTACTCCATTATAGTGATATGACATGTATACAGTAATGTATATCCTCCCTCCCCTGTACTCCATTATAGTGATATGACATGTATACAGTAAATGTATATCCCCCTCCCCTGTACTCCCATTATAGTGATATGACGTGTATACAGTAAATGTATATCCCAGCTCCCCTGTACTCCATTATAGTGATATGACATGTATACAGTAATGTATATCCCCCTCCCCTGTACTCCATTATAGTGATATGACGTGTATACAGTAATGTATATCCCAGCTCCCCTGTACTCCATTATAGTGATATGACATGTATACAGTAATGTATATCCTCCCTCCCCTGTACTCCATTATAGTGATATGACATGTATACAGTAATGTATATACTTGTATATTATATGATCATATCACATGTCATATCACTATAATGGAGTACAGGGGAGGGGGATATACATTACTGTATACATGTCATATCACTATAATGGAGTACAGGGGAGCTGGGATATACATTACTGTGTACAGTTTTATATTTCGGACTATTTATTCTAAAAAAAAAATGTAATTTCATAAGCTTTAAGGGGGCGTGGTTGGGGCGGGCCGGGTGTGGTTGGGGCGGACCTGGGCAAGGTTGGGTGGGGCAACTGGTGGTGACTAAATGTTGTGACCGGCTAGTAGGTCTGGACTCAAAATTTTAACCCCTGTTCTAGTGGACATACCTGCCTCAGATTTAGCATTAGATATTTGCCTTAGTACGAGCTTTATGTATCTGCTTCAATTGCAGCTTTGGGTACATGTTTCAGTCCCAGTATCAGGCACTTGCGTCAGTCCTAGTATCAGGTACGTGCCTCAGTCTCAGCATTAGGTACCTGCCCATTGCCAGCATTAGGTATGTGCCTCAGTAGCAGCAGTAGCTATCTGCCCCAGGCCCTCGATCCCCTCATGTTTTGCATTGTATTGGTATTGTTCTGTCACATGTTCTGTCCCCCTTTGTAATGTACAGTACTGAGCGAACTATTGGTGCTTTATAAATACTGTATAATAATAATAATAATAAAGTGGTAGTAAACTTGTTTAAAAAAAAATGTTTATGCTGCAAGGTAATATCATAATGTGCTAAAATGCAATGCATACTAGCACATTATAAAGACTTACCTTAGAACAAAGCCCTCCAGGGGCTTAATGTCACAGCTACTGAAGTTTTGGGTCCCCCTATAGTCCTGCACAGCCAGGCAACATGCATTTCCCCACCGACTTGTACTCTGGAGTCAGTAACCAGTTTTCGAGCTTGTTTTTTTGTTTTTTATTATGGGGATTTCAACTTGGATAGAGTAAGGGGTGTACAGGATGCCCAATGGAAGGTATAGTAAAATTACGCACACACCAGATGCGCATTGGAAATGTGCATGTAAATATACTCTCAAAGGTCCTCTTTAAGGACGTGGGATATGCCCGGCGTAAGGATAACCTCCCTCTGGGTAGCGTGCAGCACAGCAGAAACTCCTGGGTTGTATGGTAATCCACTCAGCCAGAGGTCCCCTTTAAGAGATGGATGGGTGTTGCAGCCTGTTACAGGGACTCCTTCCTCTGGATACTGGGATGGATCGAAAGCTCTTATGGTGGGCTCTAGAAATCAGTAGCTCCACAAGGGAGCCAAACAAAAAGTGCCCATAGTGTAGTATTGTAAAGAATTTATATTCCAAAAAGATTAGGTAAAAGCAATATGGTCAAATATGCAGAGTAAAATTCGGACTGACCAAACACTAAGATGGCTGCCGAACCTTCATGAGGCCCCGGCAGCGTGACGCACCGCGTATTGGCTCCTTCTTACGTGTTTCGTGCCATGCACGTCTACAGAGGGGATGCCAATACCGTCATGACGTGCGCCGTCTGAATATATAGGGAAGATGGCGCATGCGCTCTACACCAGTGCCATCTTAATGGAGGGCAAAATGTGAGAAATCCACATAAATTAGATGTGACAGAGACACAATCCGGCAGTGCAATGAACGGAACTGATGTGTTTTCATCACATTTGTGATGCAACATAGAGGAAATGGCGCGGCATGGATTGAACACTGCCTGACTCCAAACAGGAAGTTGCCTGTCCCTTAAAGCGGAGTTCCACCTCTA